ATATATATATATCCTACAAAAAAAAAAAAAAAAAAATTTAAAATAAATATTTAAAATAAATATTTTTAAAATATAAAAAGTTAAATCAAAAATTGTTGAATTAAGGGCTATACTATAAAATATGTCCATATTAAAATCCATAAAAATGGCAATTTTTAATTAATCCCAGTGCCATTTAAGCATAAAATTATGCATTCTTAGGTAAGGCTTTAATTCTGTTGACAAGGCTTCAAAAATATTTACTATTTTTAAAACTGTACTTTTTTTTTTCCACCTGATGTCACGACTTTCTCAGGTTTGGCCTAGGGAGCAAATACGTTTTTCCTGTTTTCTACTTCAGCTGGGAAAAAAAAACTATTGAATAGAAGTTATGTCATTATAATCATGTAGGTTTATTGGTATGGATATCAGAGTGTGGTTTGTATGTGTGTACTGAGAAATTTGTGTTTGTAATCTGACACAAAAATAATGCATCATAAGGTGACATTTTAAGGGTTAAAATCCTGAAAATAAATGAATTTTTGGTAGTTATGATCAGGACCGTTGGTTAAAAAAAAAAAGTTAGTGAAAGCAGGAAAAAACTACAATTGTTTTGACATACCTCTATGTGGCTTTTTTTTTAAACTGACACGGAAGGGTTAATGCATTGTCGTAATACTACAGGTGCATCTCAATAAATTAGAATGTCGTGGAAAAGTGCATTGGTTTGTAACACAGTTTTACCGCACTTTCTTTTAGTTAGTTAGTGGCTAATGAATCAGAAGTCTCGCACATTTACAGAAACTAGCTTACTTCCGCGTTGCAAAATAAGGTGGATATTCACACATGCTAGTGTCCTTCAGAAGCAGACGATCAGCTAATTGACACCAGAACTCATTTGTCTGGCAACCGGAAGGTGCCATGGAAACACAGCTGTGCTGTTGCGTCGCAACCCTCCAAACAGCTGCACGCTGGAGCTCTTTCCCACCGCGGCGCCGCTAGCCAGTCGAGAAACTGTGAATGACGGTTCATCACTGTCACTGGATGTCTCCACGCTTCCCGTGCCAATTATTCAGGGTTGTCGTTCTCGTTCTTTTTAGCATCGGCTAAAAAAGTCGTCCGAGCTCTGTGCGTGACGGATCTCGTAAACTTGTGCCAGAGACATTGAAACCTGATTCAATTTCAAATCAACATGCATATAAAATGACATCCCAATAGGCGCCAGAGTCACAAATACACCCGTATTGCGCAAACATTGCGTCACTAAGACTAAGTGCTAAAATGGTGCTCGGGTGCTGCGTCAACATTTTTCCCCGTTCAAGGTCAGAGCACACCTGACGTCTTCACCGAGCGCGTGTCTCGTTTTGTCGGGGAGAGCTTAGCACTGCTTCATCACTGCTCTGACACTCAGCAAAATACGAGAAGGGTCAGTGGATGGTGGACGTGGATGGTTTTTATAAGCCCTGTGGTGTCTTGCAGTAGTCAGGCGGCGGATCGATGCCAGGATGAGAGAGACGGGCCGCATTTCACAGGAGCAGAAGAGAGCTGTTAGATTTACGAGAGGGGTGGAAGAGGGAGGGAGGGCTCTCTCTCTGCTTTATACAACAGCTAGCACTGCTGTTCTTATTTGTGTGAGTAGTGCCTGCACTGCCGTGAAATTACTAGTAGTGTAAAACACGTCCTTTCTTGCTTAGATGTGGTATGAATGATTGATGTTTAAGTGCTTATGAGTGCTTTTTTGCACTCAAAAGTTTGGTGTCGGTAAGATTTTTTTTTTTTTAAACAATGAATACTTTTGCTCAACAAGAATACGTTGAATTGATTAAAAGTGGAAGTAAATACATTTACAATCCAATTACAATTCAAGAGTTGCGTTACAAAATGATGCTCTTTTGAACTTTCTTTTCGTCAAAGAATCCTGAACAAAATGCATCAATTTTCACAAAAATATTAAGCCTCACAACTGTTTTCAACATTGATAATAATATGAAAAATTCCTTCAGCAAATTAGCATATTAGAATGATTTCTGAAGGATCGTGTGACACTGAAGACTGGAGTAATGATGCTGAAAATTCAGCTTTGCATCACATGAATAAATTACATTTTAATCTGAAAATTTACCGATTAAATGTAAATTAGATTAAATTACATTTGGAAATAGATCTTTTAAACTTGAATTCTATTACACAATATTGTAGTTTTTGCTGTATTTTTGATCAAAAAATGCAGAAATAAAAAAAAACCTTCCTAACCCCAGACTTTTGAACAGTAGCTTATGCCTTTGCAAATGCATCAGCTATTTATAAAATTGATGGTTGAAATGATATTATAAAACGATGTTATAAATCAACTCAAACTGCTTTACACATGCCATTCAATGTATTTATTTTTTATTTTTGTATTATTATTTCTTATCACTTTAACATTGTTTTTTTTTAATATAAATCATTAATTATTTAATTTAATTTTAATTAATTGTTTTAATTAAATTTGGCATCATTTTAACATTTAGTTTTTTATTATTTTTTCATAAATTATTATAAATTCTCTAATTTACTTTAAGATTTAATTTATAAATGTTAATATAGTTTTATCATTACTAGTAATTGCTTAACATATGCTATTCAAACACGGACATAACACCGATTTCTAAAGTTTTATTTTGCCTGGCTGCAGTGAAAAGAAACTGGTGTCAACCTACCAGCGTTGCCAAGTCTTTGGTTTTCCCGCAGAATTGGGCTACTTTTACACGGTTGTTTTTTATTCTGCGGGTTACAGCAATCTCCATTCATGGAAATGTATTCAACTTGCATATATTATTTAGTTACTTTTCAGCTGCTTTACAAATTTTCTAACTCATATTTGCTTCAAAACGTTTGATAACCAAAGATATCCTTCAGCATTCCTGCAGAAAACTTTTCTTGAAATCTGAAAACAAACTTCTAATAGAAACTTGCAAAAGGAGGAAACTAAGACAAAGAGAGAGAAGAACGTCTGGAAAAGACTGGCTCTTTTCTCTCCAGACAGAAGTGGAGGCAGATGAAAGGTTAACAGGGCCTTCTGGAGAGGAGTTGGAGGAGGACGAGATAATAAGCCTGGTGTCACCCAAAGCACTGAGCAAACAAGAGCAAAATGAACAGAGGCGGGGGGAGTGCGTGTTTGACGCCTGGTATTTTGGGGGTTGGTAGGCAATCTGTGTTTCAGATCATTTAGTTTTGAGTGTGTTTGTGTGAAGCGCATTCAAACGACAACCTTCTTTTCCGTGCGAAACGCTGTGTTTAACCCTCCCACACAGCGTAACTCGACGAAGGCCTATCAAAACAAATCACACATTCAACAGAAACTTGAGCCGACACAGAATGATCAATCTGCGTCTCTTCAGCGGCCAACAGCGAACAAAGACGAGAGAGAGAGGGAGCGGAGGAGATTAGAAGAGGGGGAGGAAGAGATTACAGTGAAGGACAGATGAGAGGGGCTAGTTGATCTGATAGAGTCGACCAAGGCCTGTGTGTGTCTGATATTAAATCTTAGTGTCAACACACAAGGACAACTGACTCAGTGATGAGACGCAGCAGATGAGACCGTGTGCACAAATACACACTCTCACAAATGCGAGCAGAAAGTTTGGATGCGTTTGTGAGCACTTCCTTTTGCAGTTCCACACTCATCACACGCCGATAACGTGACCTTTCTGAAGCCTTCAGTGAGAGAGCTCTTCAGTGAAGCTTTTGCACCTGCTGCTATTTCATTAGAGACTGAAGCAGAGTGGTCACTTGTGACACACTGTAGGTGGACGCCGCCGCCGCCGCTCCCTCGCTCTTTATGATCCTGTTCTGTGCAGATTAAATGTTTGGAAGATGCTTGTTGTCTTATACTTGTGTGTGGGTAGTTGATGCATAGCATCCATGGACTTTTTAAATCAACTTCAACATTTTAGGTTAAATCAACATGTATATGAATGTATGACCACCATTTTGAATGGATCACAAGGGTTGTGTGAACAATATGTTGATGTGTGAACAAAACGAATCGTTGTAATGAACTGGTCAAAAAGACATCAGTGTCACACAAGTTATCGGTTTGAACTAGTCTAAAATCATTCAGAGCAGCTGTTTACACACTGAATTATGTTCATAGCATAGTCATAAGTAAAAAAATTCTTTATTTAATTAATTATATAAACATTATTTAATTTACTTTTAAATGTATTTTATTTTATAAATTGTTGTTATTAATATTATTATTATTATTAATAATAATAATAAATTAACAAATTATTACAAATATAATATTTAATATTTTGGTAACATTTTAATTTTTCATAAAATATTATGAATTATTTAATGTACTTTTAAATGTATTTTATTTATAAATTGTTATTATTATTAATAATAATAATGAATACAAATTATTTAAAAAATATTGTAATTAGTTTTATTTTGAATTTATGTTTTTGTAGTATTTTACATTTTTTATTATATATTTTTTTCACTTAAAAATGAAAGAAAAAAAAAGTAGATAAGTATTTAGTATTCATGATTCATGACTGAAAGCAGAATTGTGTGTGGACGTACCCTCTGAGTAGGCCTCTCGACGCTGGTAGCCTGTCTGAGCAGCTGGATGTTGTTTTTGCCTCTTTAGGGGCCTCCTCTGACCCGGGGCTGCGCTAACGTTACTGTCTGTGGACACTGGGCTGCCTGGACGGTGTCCCGCAGGGAGGTTTTGGTATTTCCGTGCTGCTGGCAAATTAGAGGACAGAGGGTTTGCTTAGTTCAGCTCTATTAAAGGCCGCAGAATTGTATTCTGTATTACATGTATTACAGTTAGTGTCTCCATTTAAAACCTTTATTTAATTTCAATTCATGAGCAAATATTAGGAGTTTTTGGTGGGGCACTTCCATATCTTCCACAATTTGGCATATTTCTAAGTAAAACAGAATATTTTATTTAAAATAATGTAGGCTGGGCTCGAGTTTGTCCATAAAAATGGATTCAGGAGTAGGTTTATATTATTAGGCCTGTTTTAATTATGCACAATAACATTAGGAACGTTTATTAAGAAAGCATATATACTTTCCAGTACCTCCAGACACTGGAAACTGATGGTGGCCTTTCCCAGGATGCTTTGCCACGCGTAAACCAGCATATTCGGCCGCAGCTGCCACGGCCTGGGCGAAATCAGCATCGGTAAAGAAAGATCCGTCCGATGAGCTGACGGCGCTGGAGCGACCCGACGAGGCGTTGTCTTCCTCTGAAGCCGAGCCCCAGCCGTTGATCATAGACCCGGTGACGGAGCTCTCCAGGTCACAGGTGCTGGAGGCCGGGGTCTGTTCCAGGCCCCGCAGGAGAGCCCTCTGCTGGGGCAAGTGCTGCTGGTGAGGGTGGGTGTGGAGCTGGTGGACTCGAGCCACCTCCGCATCCATCTCGTCACCCTCTTCCTCGTCCTCTTCTTCCTCCAGGCCGTCCGTGTCCAGACCCAGGGGGCTAGAGATGTAGCCGTATGTGTGCGGAGGGGAGAGGGGGCGTGGTGGAGGGGGTGGGCTCACCAAGAGTCGCCTAATGGAGGACGACAGACGTCAAATGCATGAAACTGTAAATGGTTCAAAAAGAAAAGCATTGTTAAGCTGCTGCAGCTGGCGTACCTGCGCTCGTGTAGGTCAGGGTTATCCTGCAGCATGGGCTGCATCTCCTCCTGAGGGGACGGGGTGAGGGTCGCAGTGGACTGGTGACTGTAGGATACGGCGGCAGGTGAGGAAGCTGCTCCCCGTACGGGCGGCGTAGGTCCGCGCTCCAGCTCCACCTCGTCCTCCTCCTCTTCTAGCTCGTCAGGTTGCAGATACATACGAGACGGCGGCAAAGGGCACTGCAGGTCGGTGTCATAACTGAAGAGAAAACCAAAAAACATGACCACTTTGAAAAACTTAAATCGCCGATCTTCAATCGTCACATCTTGCGATCTTTAGTTTCTAACTTACATATAATGTGTAATCGTTAGAATTTAATGTTTACTAACGACTTTTTTGTAAGTTGCTGTACAAACTGTCCGACAAATGTCTTTAAAATAATAGTAATTACTTTTATTATGCATTTATATATTCATGTTATTTAATATTTAATATTAAAATATTATTTTAATTTGTATTAATATTTTGTTGATTTTATTAATCTATTTAATATTATTTTAAATATAATTGTATTTATCCTATTAAAGTTTTATATATACATACACAATATTAATAGTTATTAATAATGTTATTTTTAAAATATACATTTTTATTTTTATTTGTATTATTAATATTTTGTTGCTTTATTAATTTAATATTACTTTATTTTTTTAAGTATTTCTTAAAGTGTGTGTGTGTATATATATATATATATAAATACATGATAAATAATTTACAAATAATACAAATTCATAATATTCATTTAAAATGCTGTATGTACATATGATTGTAATGGTTAAAAAAATCTGAAATACATAAACTATGAATGTAATTCCTAATGTGCATTGTAAGCATACTGTACACCATAAGTGAAAACCTTTGTGTGTTGATCTAACCTGTCATCCATCGCGAGGGTGTATTCCTGACACGGTGGTGGATTAACCGGAGGAGGAGGCAACAGTTCAGTCCAATTCATTGGGTTCTGTTTGATCTGTTTAGTTGATCGCCCACCTTTCTTCTGTCCTTGACTTCCTGTAAAGCAAAAATAAATAAATAAATAAAAAATACACATTCAGTGTGATACAAACAGTGCTATATCAACTCCCAGCCCACAATGCCGTCTGAACTTTTAAATTAATTTAATTGCAAACTAAAATGCTTTAAGTTCTGGTTCATTTCTTTTTCTGTTAGTTTGTTTGCGAGCTTGATGCATGTGTGAAACAAATGACACTTTTACACTCAGGAGAAGCAACATTAATGACACCCACAGCATAATTTATGCGGTGTAAAACGCTTATGCACATTATCTCTCTATTTGTAATTAACGTTGCGCTCTCCATCAAAAAATGAGTAATTTTTCAAAACTAACACTCTTCATTGCCCAGAGGAGAGGTAGAGAGAGAGAGCATTAAAAAGAGAAACATTGGAGGCCAATTAACAGAAAGGAATTAAAATTCAGAGCCAATGAGCTGTGAGGACCTCCACGCACTCAGACCTTCTCTTTAATTACCTGAACTTCAAATACAATATAAAAATAGATACGATGCATTACGCCGGCAGCCTTGCATACGCCGCAGAATGGGCCTCATTTATCTTTGTCCCGCAACAAACACCGGCTTTCTGACAACATTATCCCCCCTTTCTTTCAGTCGGATGGATGAACGCCGGAGTAATTAATGACGGTGTGGCGAATCGCAAAAAAGGGAGGGGGATATCCTCCAAATCAGACACATCCCGGGAAAATGCGGCAGACCTTAGAAACCTGCAGGGAACATGGTTTTAACTAAAGGAATTAGGACTGAGAGAGATTGTTTCTGCCGTTTAAGATATGCACTCGTGCACCTCAGAAATCGTGAGGAAGAATCGCCTCCTTTTGTTCGGACGCAAATGTTTCTCTTTGTTCCCCGGAGTTTCTCAACAATGAGTGAGCGATTTGTAAATGTCCTGTTTTGCATATGATTTACTGCCTCCTGAAGTGATGAAAAGGCTCTGAAATAATGCAAATGAGAAGAAAACAGAATAATGCGATAAACTGCAGGCTAACTGTTTAGGAGGTTATGTCTGCAGGTTTTTATGACAACTTGGTTGGTTGGATGGATGGATGGATGGATGAACAACAGAACTTTAGATGGATGGATGAACAACAAAACATTGGATGGATGGATATATGGATGGATGGATGTCTTACCAGAAGTGCTGCTCCCCCTGTCGGAGCTGCTGTAGGTTCCTCCTGTGAGGACGTCCTGGGCCTGGTTATAGGGGATGGTGCCTGAGACGGGCCCCTCACCTCGATAGTGGTCTAAGGGATTGCAGTCAAGATATTTTGAGTTTTAGTTTTTATTATACATACAGGTAAGGCATTATGAACCAGTCCTTTACATACCAGAGTAAATGAAAAAAATGTTTTGTGAACTAGACAAATGAAAGCTCTTATAAAATGCAGACACTTCAATGCAGAACGCTTCAGAGTGGAACATCAGACAGTCGAGTGGTAAAAGGTTACAAAAGGGTTTCAGTCATAAGCTGTTATGACTTGTTGGTGACTGGTTTCAATTGTCTACCAAGTGTGAAATATCACACCCACACACAGTTAGATTCATGCAAGTTGAGTCAAAAAGCAAACACAATGACCTTTTTAGTGGCACAATATGAAGCAGCAGATAATGGATAGCTTTGAGTTTGAGTTACATTCCCCCTTATTTGTACAGTAATCTAAGATCTCTGGCTTCACACTGTTCTGAGACATCCGACACTTTACAGTTTACTCTTTATCTTCATCCCCATCCAAACAGTAAAACAACAGCTATAAATATGGATTAAGTTTACTAGCAGAGCACAGAGTTGAATTACACATATACACAATAAGAGCAACCGTGACGGATAAAAAAGGGGTTAGAAAGTGAAAAAGCCACATGTAAAGGTGCCAGGGAGGCTATTAGGAATCAAAATCGTGTAACGCTTTTATTGTGGTCTGAATATGAGGAGACAATAGAGCAACAAGACAAGAAGAGCAGCAATTCGATTACGCACCTTTGTGGTAAACCGAGAAAAACATGGCATGGGTTTCTTTGAAGAGCTTGAGCTAGTGTTTAAAATCAAATTCAAATAAATCTGCCTTAAATTTTCGGGAACCGCAAGGAAATCCACAAAACTCACCCTTGTTCAGTTTGTTTTGCTCCATGACGTTATACTGCAGTGGTGTGTTGATGTCAGCCTGTTTTTGAGGCGTACCCTGGCTGCTCTTCCAGCTCAGCTTCTCATTAATGTCAGCACTTCCTCCTCCACTTCCGCCGCTGCTGCTGTTCACATTGTTGTTGGCCAGGCTGGACTGGATGAGCTGGGTGGTGGCGTAGGGCGTAGGTTGACCACCAGGACCCACGAAACGGCCGTCCTTTAGGTTGGGGCTGTTGAAGGTCTTCATCTCGTTGATCTTGTTGGAGAGGTCCACGTCACTGTAAAGGCCCGTGTCGGGAGCTAGAAGGTTGCTGGCCTTGTTGTCCATCTGGTTGCTGTAGTTGGCGATGCAGTCGGCTGGATGATAGAAGAGGAGTAAGACATTTTGATAGCCAAAAGACTGTTTAGAATCTAAGGATAAACCTGGATTCTGATATGTTGTAGGTATTGATGTACTGATCAGACTGAAGTGCTTTTAAAATAAGGGGACATTTACAGAAACTCATGGAGTGAAGACACTGAAAGAACACTTGAAACCAGAAATTTCAAAGATAATGTCGAATACTCAAAATGCATATCAAGATAACACTCGTTTCATCAGAATCCCTGACACTGTCCTACGATCCTCCTCCTTCTCCCTCGTCCACGACACAAGCTAAGCGTGTCACTTTGAGTTTCCCGAGCACCTACGAGAAAGGCATCCCAGCTCATCATGCAGGATGTTCCAACACGTCCGAATCAAAAGTCTCCGAAACGAGGAACGCTGTAAAAGACAATCCTCCCCGGGATCTGAGCGAGAAGCTTGGCGCGTAAATACCGCGGCCTGCCATTGGACGGATTTCGAGCGTGGCTCTTGTTTCCACAAGAAGAAACGGCTCTGCACTTCAAAGGTTGACGTATCAATGATAAAAGATCCCATGGAATGAGACAAACTAAGTCGTCTTTCCAGAGAAGCCCTGTGGGTACTGATCCGGTTAATATCCTGGAGATTTTTTAGTATTTGGCACACCAGGCAAACGGGTGTCAAGCTTTTAAAACGTCATGCTGTGAGAATCACTCAACATTTATCCTTCATTCCTGCTTTGATGAAGGCGACAGGGATAAAATCTAGTGCTAGTGAAAACACACTCCCAATAAATGGATATCAAAGGCAAAGCCAAGCTTTTTGGGTTAAAAAAGCTCCATCTATGGTTTCTGTGGATGGTCTGAACAAGCACAAAGCCTAATCCTCAGGCCTATCCATGAATATGGTAGCTAATTTCTTAAATTCAATAGAAAGACATTTTTCTGAAAGGATTGGATGCATTTAAGGGTTCTGTTATGAATGAAATACTCTTAGCCAACGGCTTAGTCGCACCAGCTGATAGCGGAGAACAAAAAAGCTCTTGTAGTGACATTTAAATATCATTAAATGAACCAACAGTGACACCGCTGTCCAAACTAAGAGTTGCTTTGTGAAAACTGGGTAACTCTGTATATTAACGCCACTTTGTCACTTTCAGTGTGTGTCTCTTTGGACTTGCGAGTCAACCTGGTCTTCTTTTGTTTGTAAAGTAACTTGCTGACTCCTGAAATAAAGCCACCTGGAGGTGCTCCATCACTCCTTCTCTTTCCTCGCCCTCTCTTTTTCTCTCTCTCAGGTCTATTTTGACCTCTGTAACGGCTCCTGGTTTCCTGAATAAGCGAGAAACTGCATTAAAAGGTTCTAACGGTGGTATGGAAATCAGACGGCTGATTGGATTAGCTGGACTACAGCCTGCGGGGCCTTTTCAATATCGGCCGCTTTTATTTTCCCTAAAACGTCCAGGTTCCAACAAATCACACACACAGTTGTGTGTCAAAGGAAGGACACGATACTTGAGTTGCGTTCCATTCTACTTGGAAAGTTGGAATTTCCAACTTGGATAGGTTTACTAGAACGTACTGCTTCCAAGTTGGAAACTTCAGTGGAAATGAACAAACCCAAACTTCAACGAGATTAACGATAAAAATTTCGTTGCACAAACAATGTGGTATAAGGGGGAAATCTGAACCGTTAATGACAAAGGATTGCTTTAAATCAATTTAAACAAGTCCTTGAGTCACAGTTAATATAATAAAGCCTGTTGTTCTAGTCGTTAGCAAGTCTTTTCCTCATTTGTGACCCTGGAGCACAAAACCAGTCTTAAGTCGCAAAGTTGCAATAGCCAAAAAAACATTGTATGGGTCATTATTATCGATTTTTCTTTAATGCCAAAAATCATTAGGATATTAATTAAAGATCATGTTCCATGAAGATATTTTGTAAATTTCCTACCGTAAATATATCAAACCTTAATTTTTGATTAGTAATATGCATTGGTAAGAACTTCATTTGGACAACTTTATTTAAAGGCAATTTTCTCAATATTTTGATTTTTTTGCACCCTCAGATTGCAGATTTTCAAATAGTTGTATCTCGGCCAAATATTGTCCTATCATAACAAAACATACATCAATGGAAAGCTTATTTATCTCAGCTTGTATAAATCTCAGTTTCAAAAAATTGACCCTTATGATTGGTTTTGTGGTCCAGGGTCACATTTAAGTAACAAACTCATCCAGAGGTAGTATTTCCTCATTTGTCGCTTTGGATAAAGAAAAAAAAAAAGCTTGCTAAATGAATAAATGCAAAAAACTTGAAATAATCTCTACTTATAATTGTAATTTTTTCCACTTTGATTCAAGCATAGCATCATGCCTCTGTACACTAACAGCTAGACTCCTACCCACACTCGCTCACACACTCACCTGGGCGGCTGTAAGTGGCCAGGTTGCTGTCGCTGTTTCCGTTGCTGCCAGTGCAGCAGTTGATGGGGCAGTCGTTGTGATTGGAGCAGCTGTTCGGCCATGTGTCTGCAAGCCAGGGCTGGGTAGCTGGTTCACCTATATTCAACAAGCCTGGCCTGGAAAACACAGACACATGGTGATTTATTACTAACGTTAACTTGGAAGTGGTACATGCACACTTGTATGATCATGATCAGTAGTGTTAAATGCTGTTTCTATTTCATTTTTGAACTGTTATTGCCACAAATAAGGACAGCAATCAGTGAGCCTGACACAGCATCATCGGAACAACCATTGGTGTGAGTTTTGGGGCAGGGTTAACAGTTTGACCAATGGCAGGCCGAGGGAAGACTATTCTGTTTGGTGGCACAGAAATGACACGCTTCAGCTTTAAACAGGAAGCCCATCCCATCTCCTTGTATCCCAGTGCATCTCTCAGTGCATTAGGCTGTATCTGTGCTAAATGGATTGCGTTTGCTTGACTTGCTCATGGCTGATGACACCGTTTCCCGTTTCGTGACCGTTAGATCTCCGTGTGGATTACCCAAGTGCTGGAGAACATTGCTGCTCCAGCCATCGCTAAAGGAAGAGCTTGGAGCTCCCAGCGCATGCCAGGGTGTCACAGTCAATCAACGTGATCTCAAGAGCTGGAGAAGCTCTGGATAAACGCATATATGAATTCATCCAGTGCCCATAGTAACCGTTTCTATCAAACCTTGCAGTTAAAGCCATTTTTATTTCAAAACACTGATTTATGTTTGATAGTTAGCGTTCGTGATAAAACAAGGTCACATTAAAATGCTTCCGAGGAAATAAAGGTGATGAGGGAAGATTTTTTTCAGGGACGCTTATCAAAAACACAAAAAGAGCATCAAAGAAAGAGTTTTGTGCAATGAATCTTCAACGTGATGCTTCAAAGTAAACGTGGCTTCCTCTTGTCTACGTTCGTTCCGTATCCCTGCAGCATGGTATGTCTCTTTCTTTTATTTTTCTAACAGACTCTTTAGCTTCAAAAGGCTTAAAGGCAAGGGCAAAGACCTGCTTGATTAAAAGCTGGACTCCAAAAAAAACGACTCAAAGGGAAAGACGCACACTAAGCATCGTCTGCAACTATTTGAACGAGGTGCACAAATGCACACGGTGAAATTAATTGGTTGGAAATGATTGCATTAGCAGGGCAGAAACGGTGGGCTTTTGTCTCATCTGGGTTCTGCGGGGCTCCGTCTCGCTGCACAACCTCCAAAAGTGTCTTTGCAAAGACAAAAATGCCCCCTAGTGTCAATAAAACGCAATTACACTACAGTACACACCCTTCACACGGACATTGTTGGCTTCTGATAAATATTAACTTCAAGGTTTTAAGGTGTCGGATCACAAAATGTGTGTGTTTTTTTTTAAACATCTCACCTTCCAGCACTGCTGACGGCCTCTCCTCCTCTCTGATAGGCCACTGTAGATAAAAGAAGTTACATTAATGAGAACAGATAACATTGAAAACCTGTAATGAAATAAATGTCTTGCTGTCAAAGGGCAAAGAAAATTTCCGCAGAAGAACTAATTCATACAGTTTAGGAATGATGGCAGATTTTGGATTTCTGGGTGAGCTATCTCTTTAACAGGCTCATCTAAGCATATTTTGTTGGCCTTGTATTTTCTTTCATATCTTACAAGCTCCTGCATTTCGTGGAAATAAAGCTTGTTTGGTTTGCTACTAAAAACAAGCCTTCTCTTTCTCAATCCATCCCTCCCCTCTCATCTCTTTGATAAAAACCTCCCAAAACCAGGTGAGTCGACAGCGGTTACAGAAAGATCGCATGAGATGAGAAATAATGAAAGGGTCTAAGCGTCTTTCTCTGGTATGTAAAAGTCATCTGAGTTCAGTCCTCATGCTAGCCGGCTCCTCTCTTCGTCTAATTGGTCACGAGACTTCTGATGTCACAGCTTCCCATCCGGTCTGAAGCGTTAGGGTGGGCCGCTCTGCCGGTTCTAACAGCCCTCTTTAGTCAAGCATGCATTTCCTCCCTCTCTGTCTTTTATGTTTTTTTACTTATTTTTATGCTGACAAGCCCATGCGACTGAAGTTCTCTTTGATTATCCATGTAAACTCATACTGGTGTTCTTTTCTTGTGGGGAGATGTATTTTTAAAGAGAGGCCGTGCCTCCCACGCTTCACTTGTGTCATATTTGTTTGGAGTTCTGCTGTGCAGAACGAACGTGACTGAAGGGAGTGTTGAGGGACACTTCATTACAACGGCTGAGAAACATTATACTGCTGTGCGCTTTCCAACTCCAGCGGGCAGGAAGTCGTCACACTCTAGGGATTGTGGGAATTCTGGGCATATGTGCTGTGAGGAAGGTGTGATTACCTGTGGGGGTGAAGGTGAAGGAGGGCACTGCATACACTAATAATAATAATTCTTCTTCTTATTATTATTATTATTAGATACCCAAACATGTGACATGTGAATTCGAAGAATTCAGCTGCATTTTAACAGTGTACTTTATTAATTTTGACTTAAATGTATTATAATAAATCATAATATTTAATATTATATTGTATTATTATACATAAAATTCTGTGGTTTTACAGTTGTGGGTTTGTGCGTCTGATTAACTGTATATATATCAGAGACAAGAGGAAAATATTGACATCTAAAGTTTCTGAAGAAAATGGCACCACAATGCTTGGATTTTGTAGATGGTTGCGATGTTGATATGCAGTTGCTAGGGTGTCCTGGGAGGTTGTTTACTGGCCCAGATAAAAAAAAAAAAAAAGACCCCACTTTACTACAACTCCACTGGGCAGGAAGTCGTCACACTCTAGGGATTGTGGGAATTCTGGGCATATGTGCTGTGAGGAAGGTGTGATTACCTGTGGGGGTGAAGGTGAAGGAGGGCACTGCATACACACAGAGCAAAGAGAAAAAAATGTATTATGCATCAGATTCGTAATTATTATTCAAAAATTAATTATTCATTGTAGCAGCACTCTGCATTAAACTTAAATATGTATGCAGTTATTAGAAAAAGTTTTCAAAAAGGCACTTGTGATTATATTTTACAGTCTCTGATGTAACGAGTCTGTTACCAATTACTCAGAACATTGAAACCTCATCACAAATACACAGTTCATTTCATTCTCCTTGTCATCTGAATTCTGTGGTTTTACAGTTGTGGGTTTGTGCGTCTGATTAACTGTATATATATCAGAGACAAGAGGAAAATATTGACATCTAAAGTTTCTGAAGAAAATGGCACCACAATGCTTGGATTTTGTAGATGGTTGCGATGTTGATATGCAGTTGCTAGGGTGTCCTGGGAGGTTGTTTACTGGCCCAGAAAAAAAAAAAAAAAAAAGAGCTCACTTTACTATATTCTGGTCCCTATATGTGGCTTAATTATAAATTGAAAGAATTTTCCCTCTATTTTATCTATCTTTATCACACACTAAATAAAAGATCTACTGATACTTGCCACAAAATCTCCACTAAATTAGTCATTTACATATTTAAACATTATAATAAATCATATTTAATATTGTATCATACTATACATAAAAATAATATAATTTTAGTAATAATACATGTATATTAATATAATCAAATATAAAACAAACAAATAATAATAATAATGTTTTAAATTAATATGATTAAACAAACATATTTATATTAATATAATAATAATAATAATAATAATAATAATAATCATGTATTTTAAATTAATATAATCAAATCAAATAAAAATTTACATTAATAATTAAATATAATAATAATAATTATTATTATTATTGTTATTATTATTATTATTATATAATTT